GATCCAGCGAGGGGCGCCCCTGACTGCACCTAACTGTACTTTACATATCCCACATCGGCTTTTGTTTCCCGGTCATTAATTGATAGGAGAAAATGTATTAAATGGTTCAACGGGCCCCTTGTACGAAATTGGGGGTGCGAAAAGATATGTGTGCGCCCCCACGTTTTTGGAATGGGTGCAGCTGCACACCCTATACCCCTCTTCCGCCGCCCTTTCGTCGCAGCAATGTGGAAAGATATGCTTATTCATGCTTTTCATATGCATTGTTTCCCTATTTATCTATTGGATACTTAGGTCTTATCACTGGAAATAATTTCAGACGTGGGAAAGTGTACCGTTTGTAATAATGTTTCTTGTCGTTTTTGACTGTCGAATGAAAGGGAGTTGTCAAAAGAACTCGCGATTACAATCGTCATTTTATGCTACTCAGCCAAGTACCCTGCAGCAGAATTCTCAATTTACGGTAGGTCACCATGGTGGAACGTTACCAGCTCATCCTAGCCCATCAATTTTAGCGAGACGCTACTGTGACATTCTTTTGTAGATGGCGTTTGATGTTTGCGGTAAAATATCGCTTTCGGGGCGGGGCGGGTGGTCGTCGCGGCCAAAAAGTGTCTGCCCGACTGGCGCGACCTCCCAGCTGTCTGTCTATCAGTCTACCGGTCGGCGGCGGAAGCCAGCGACCGCCGCCGCCGCGCCTCTCCTGTTACCACGCTACTGAAATGGGCTGCCGGCCACGCACCGCCAGTCAGCTCCGCTCGTTCTCCGCTCGCTCTCCGCCGCCCTGCCGCACACCGTTCGCCGCCGCGACCAACGGTTCTGGAATGTGGCGACAAGCAATGCTGGCAGCTGTTTTCTTCTTTCAAACGATGTGACTCAATGGTCTCGTGTGTGTGTCTGTGTTTGCCAGCAGAAACGCAGCCAGGTCAGTGGGTCATTAGCTGCTGGGTAATCGATACGGTTAGCTGCTAATAAGGACACGTGATTGATCCCGATCGCGAGCTGCAGTACGAGGGCAGGTCAGAGGGACGTCAGGAGTCCCGGACCGCGCCGATCGGTCCGCACCACACGGAGCAGACAGTCGGAGCCGGTTGGTGTCGGCGGGGGCGGCACAACCGTCCGCTACAGCCGCCGTCTCGCCCGGAGTCGGAGTCTGGGTCCAAGATAAACAGCGGCGCCGCCGCCGGCTCGGCGCGGGGCGCACCATCCGCCTGTGACGGCGCGGGGCGCGTGCCAGGTCACAGGGTGCCGGCCGGGCGGGCCCGCGCACAACAGTGGCCCAGGTCACGGTCAGACACCGGCCGAACTCTCTGTCCTAGTGATCACCTATGCGCACAGCAAACCCTTCCTCCAAATCAACCAGACACAAGAACCTTCATGCCCACGAGTAACCAGCCACGGCGTCACATTATCCTTGTCCGACTGTGTAGATCGCATCGGATATCTTACTCACCAGATAGATCGCCCTACAGGCCGATCCTTGTGTAGAGTATGCACCCAGAGGGAAGCCAGAGCAGACAGATGGCTTCGCTGTGCGTTGGCTACGGTGATGAGTCTGCGGCTGAGGGTGATATATTGATGTCTGTCGACTGGCGACCGCAGGCGGCTGGAACCATCGGAACGTCGAACGATCATGGGACGTCAAGCGTCACCGGTTGCATAGGATTCTTGCATCAGTTCGAGAATTTCCCAGAAGGACTTATTATTGTCTTTAACAGTCTTTTCATCTTGGCAACAATATAAATCACTGCTGGCATTGTTGGCTGGATTGTGAAATTAAGCACAACACGAACAAAGACGTGATCGAAAATATCGTTGCCCTTTTGACTCACCGACATACCGGTGTTGTGCCAGGGCCTCGCCCTGCTCGGGCCGCAGCTGGGGCGCCGGGCCCCTGCCGGGTGTTGTCACGGGGGGCACCGGCGGCAGGCGGGCGGCCTTGCCGGAGGGCGGGAGCGGGGTGGGCGTGCATCGGCTGGCCACCTCCACGGCCGGAATCTCATGTGACTGTTGGCGGCGCGGCGGCAACGCCGGCAGCTGGGCGCACTATGCCAACTCGGTCGGTCTGACTCGGCTGGCCTGCTTAACGGCCCGGCACGCGCGCGGCTCGCATATGCTGCAGCGCGTGTCGGTAGGCGTGCAGGGCAGGCGGCACAGGTGCCACACACGGGGCGGAACGGACACCACCGCTTAGTGCTCAGTGACCACCGCAGCTGCCGAGGAGAGGACAATGAAAACGAACTGCCAGCATATGTAAGACAATAATAACAGCATTGATATTTCTCGTAAAATATGTCATTTGTTTATTCCCATTAACCGGGCGAGAAAATATGGGCGACAAGTGCGAATCATCACAAGCGGGCACTACAGCCCATGGTCCATAGACATGGACAGGCCAAAACTACACACACCGCTTTACAGTACACATCTTTGGGAATCAGCTCAGAGCCGGCACAGTGGATACGAGACTGTCAGAAAATATACACGAAACATACACACACCAAACACAAAATAACAGACGCACACAAGTTATACATACGAACGCACAAAACACAAATATGTCCTAGGTTGGTAAGTAACAAATGAATAAGCTTGTTGGATCAAAGCAAGCTATTAGTAGCATGGGGCTCGGGGCTGTGCCTTGTGAAATGCATCAAAGATATCGCAGGTGACTTTGTTTTGCTCTCTGGAGCAACAGTAATTCAATAACAGCTTCTTTGCCAGGACTGCAAAATTTGCACTAAATCTTATCAACCAATGGAACAACCCTCCAGACTGATTTTACTTCTTGATTTGTGTAAGCCTCTCGACAGGGCTTTGGGGCTATAGGACAGGGAGACGCCTTCCGAGTACAAAAGTGCTGTGCCCAGCTGAACAGAAAATCAAACTTGAAAACTGTGCAAGACTTATTCGAGAGCTGGGCCAATCCTCAAAAGCTATACGAAACACTTCCATGTAAGGGACCTTGATTGCCTTGACCTGACCTTGAGCGTCCGCCACTCACAATTATGTATCGCAAACAAACAAAATAAGCCCTACCTGTACATAATTTTCTAAAACGATTACATGCAGAGTAATGTTTTACCGTGTGTTTTATTATTGACACTTACTTAATGTATGCGCTTATCTGTTTCACGGTACAAGCCCCGTCGCCTGTCCACAGTCCCGTTCTAACTGAATGCCAGTCTTTTCTGTCGGCGGGTCAGAGTTTTTCGCCACAGAGGGAGGTGAAAGATGGGCAGTGTGGGCGTGGCTGCGTGGCCCCCTGACCTGAACACGTGACTGGTGCCCGTGAGAAACGACCCGGGCCCAGTCAGACGTCGACGCGCCGACCGCTATCCGTTTCGGTCGAACGGTCCAAATAGTGGGAGCGTTTAGCGCCGGCGCCAAATATACCCCTTGTTGTCAGGAGCGAGACCCCGACTCCCTTGCATCAGCCAACAAAATGCAGCCCACATACTCTCCTTGTGTTTCAAAGCACCCTAGTGATGGATTTAATACATCTCAGACCACATGACGCCTGTGGCAAAACACCCTCTTAGTTACTTGACATAAATAGCTAGGGCGGCTGCTTGTCGTTGGCATTGTGTTTCCCATACATTCGTTTCCATATCATAGTTTGCTGTCACGGCGCCTGTCACAGGGCCCATCCATTAGGTGTGGGTTGCCTTGCTCTGCTCTCTGAGGCCAAGTGTGACCTAGCAACTGTGTGCTGTGTTTGAAATGTTGCTGTCCGTGAGTGGAGTGTGACCTGTTCTATGCGTGCACACAGAAAAATATTAACACCGTTAGCGGTGTAATTGCACAGTACATATCTGAGCACTTGAGGAAAGTTAATTTAGTCCCTTCCCCGCTTAAATTACTCGCGCTTCCAAATGAACACCAGGAAGAAGGTAATAGAACACTGTTAGGAGGGTTGGGTGTTTTGCTACATATGTAGTAAAACACCCAACCCTCCTAACAGTGTTCTATTACCTTCTTCCTGGTGTTCATTTGGAAGCGCGAGTAATTTAAGCGGGGAAGGGACTAAATTAACTTTCCTCAAGTGCTCAGATATGTACTGTGCAATTACACCGCTAACGGTGTCAATATTTTTCTGTGTGTGGTGCGTTTTCAGGTCAGCTCTGCCATTGGATGATGTGCGACCATGTCCACCGTGTGTTGCGTTCTTAGGGCAGCAGTGGGTGCATTGTGATCTCTCTCCTTTGCATCGCGCTTGCAGGGCAGCCTCCTGAGTAGATGAAGTGTGACCTAGCTGCTTTGTGCATTTCGTTCTCAGGGCCTCCAGCCTCCAGTGGTGTGAAGTATGAAATGTCCCCTGAGTGGGCGTTAGCAGGGCAGCCTCCTATGTAGGTGAAGTATGATCTAGCCTTCGTGTGTTTCACGTTCTCAGGGCAGCTGCCAGTGGATGAACTATGACCTCTGAACTCACCCTCTGTGTATCTCGTTCTCAGGGCAGCTGCCAGTGGGTGAACTATGATCTCTGAACTCACCCTCTGTGTTTCACGTTCTCAGGGCAGCTGCCAGTGGGTGAACTATGATCTCTGAACTCACCTTCTGTGTATCTCGTTCTCAGGGCAGCTGCCAGTGGGTGATGTATGACTGGTCCCGCTGTGTATCTCGTTCTCAGGGCAGCTGCCAGTGGGTGAACTATGACCACTGACCTCACCCTCTGTGTTTCACGTTCTCAGGGCAGCTGCCAGTGGGTGAACTATGACCACTGACCTCACCCTCTGTATATCTCGTTCTCAGGGCAGCTTCCAGTGAGTGAATAGTGACCGTGACCACTGACCCCATCCCTTCTGCGGCGTTCACAGGGCAGCTGCCAGTGGGTGAACTATGATCTCTGAACTCACCCTCTGTGTTTCTCGTTCTCAGGGCAGCTGCCAGTGGGTGAACTATGATCTCTGAACTCACCCTCTGTGTTTCACGTTCTCAGGGCAGCTGCCACTGGGTGAACTATGATCTCTGAACTCACCCTCTGTGTTTCACGTTCTCAGGGCAGCTGCCAGTGGGTGAACATCCAGAGCCGGGTGGTGACGCTGTGCGACACCACGCTTCTGCAGCTGACGGAGATGGAGGCAGCCGCCGTGCAGCAGGTGGCCCTGCAGCGGCTGGCAGACTTCAACCTCGGCTGCACTGTGCGCATTCCCAAAGGTGAGAGATATAGAGGAGAGTGAAAAGGAGGGGGCGAGATAGAGAATGGAGGGAGATCGAGAAGGAGGGTAGGGGAAGGGAAGGGAAGAGGGTAAATGAAGAATAGGGAGTAAGAGGGAGAGAAAAAGTAGAAAAGATATAAAAGGTATAGGAGCGTACACCAAAATTATGTTGATGCCACACACGTTTATTAATAAGATAAAACAACAACAAGTCACTGACTAACTCATTTATAAATGTAGTCAATGAATCATAAATACCAGCAAACTTGAATCAATCGTTGTCAATGTTATTGCCAAAGAAACAGCAATTCACAAAGTCCAGGGACAGTGCCACAGCCAGAGGGGTGTTCACGGGCACCGCACACTGCTGCGTGCGGTGTGTGCGGTACGTCCAGCAGGCGTGGGGGTAGGGGATGGGTAGGCGACTCTGACGTCACGGCTGCGTGCGGTGGACGGTCCGCTGTGGCCAGTCTCGACCGGCCACAGCGGTCGCTGTGTGCGGTGACGCAAGGCTGACGTAGGGACGCAGTGGGCGGAGCTTGGAGGCTGTGTGCGGTCCGACCGCACACAGGGTCCGTGAACAGCCCTCCGGTCTTCAGCCAGGCCCATCCGCCTCGAACCGACACGGTTAGACTATCCCGCATCACATAGCGGCCTTGCGGCGCAGTATACCAGTACAGGCATATGGCCGGGACGTTGAGATGGGCCACTGGCACTGTATGAATTGAATGGGAGCCAGGATAAAATGAATAATTGAAGGTGCGTTTGCAGAAAGACCAAGGTTACTTCTAGGTTATGTGCCATTGAGGATTTGTATTGCCTAATTTTACTGATATAGCTACAGCCTACATATGCATTGCCCTATACTGCTTGTCAGTTGTCAATTACCTCTTTTTCAAGGAGCAATGAACCAACAATAAGGTGTTGAAATGGATGTCATTGCTCTAACGTGGTTATTAATTAACCCGGCACCGCCTGGGCTATTTCCGTACCCACGACAGCCTAGGGGGGGGGGTCGGATCCGACCCCCCCCTGTTATCTCGAGAACCAATGGTCGCATCGAGCCCCGCGAGGCGGCGTTCGAAAGGTCTCTACGAGAAGCACTCTTAAGATTTAAGATTGAGGTCAACTTTCGGATCAAGGTCAGGTCAAAGGTCAAATTCTGGGGTTTTGCATGATTAGGCTTACGGACAGCGGAATCGACAGCTGCTGCTCGAAACTCACCGAAAATGACCTCTAAGACCTAGTGAAAGTACCATGTGCGTATAGGGGTCATACTAAGTACGGGTCAAGGTCAGGTCAGGTCACGAAAGGTCACGGTTTTCACTTTCTGCTACATGGGCGTGCGACACATGTTTTATGGCTTATTTTTCACGCCGAATCCGATGGTAATGGTTATATGTGACCCCAAGTCACTGTAAGTGTGCATTGAAAGCATAAAAAATCGTTTATACCATACATAACTAAACGAGGGCTAAGAAAAAAGGTCAATTTTTCACCTTTTTATTTTTGACATAAAAATGCACTTTTCTAGAAGAGCTTTGTCCCAGGAATCTAGTGGTGCCATTTGTTTTCACATGCGATTTTCAGAAGTGCCTCTAATTCACGAAAATGTTTATGACGTCACCATGCCCTATGCATGTTGGAGCTATTTTTTACAATTTGGAGGTCAAAAATGAAGATAGAAAGTTGAAATTTGGGACATCTAATGTTCTAATAGAGCTCTATAACATATATTCCGATTTTTTTGGAAATTCTCAAAATTTTGGATTTTATTAGCTGTTTTCCAAAAAAAATGTAGTTTTTTTAATTTTTAGGGGTTAAAAACGTATTTTATGGAAAATCCGAGATAGCCATTTTAAAGAACTTGTTGAGCTACGTTTATTCATGTCCTTAATTTGCAATTTGCTTAAAACCCTGATTTTTGGCGATTTTTTAAACATTAACACTTTTTGACTGAAAACGCCATGTAGTTACGTCACTAAAATCGATATATCTAAAAAACAAATTGTAAATGTTTTCTTAAAAATTGCACAGGAGACGTCAAATTGATGGGGGAGAAGGTATGCCAAGTTTCAAGTCGATAACGTAAGCGGTTCATAAGTTATTCAAGAAAAACGGAGGGGGGGGGGGTCGGATCCGACCCCCAGGCGGTCGCGGGTTAATAAGTAAAGCTATGAAATGCGTCATCAAAACTGATAAGAGTGAGATTGCACCTCAGTTGAAGCTTGACATGCTCCGTACCGACTTCAATGTACCGTTTAGTTTTAATCAAACCGTTTATTTTACTCGGCTAAGTTAGTATACCCGAGCTTAAATGTTCAGAATGTTATTTGCAAGAACTTCGGCATTGCCAAAATAACAGCATTTCACAATATAAACATGCATGTCTGTTACATACAGTTAGTTTGTATCATAAATATAAGCTAAGCGCCAGTGGGCAGCAGCTGTGACACCAACTCAACCTTGTCAGTCATCGCATCACTAAAACAATGAGAATACAGTCTCCTAAAGTGTGACATTATTCAGCGCCGCTGGCGTTGGTCTTGGCGTGGTCTCAGACTGGGCGGCAACCGTGACCTGATACGGGCGACATTTAGCGGTTGTTAGCGCCCGGGGGACACTGCCGGGGCGCGGCCGGCGCTGTCCGATTGGGTGTACTGTCGGGCACGGACGGCGCTGTCCGTCCGAAGATAGTGTCGGGGCACGGCCAGCGCTGACCGTCCGGGGGTACTGTCGGCCGCGGTCGGCGCTGTCCGGTGGAGGACACTGGCCTGTCCGGCCGGGGACACGCGCCGGCTGCTGTCCGGAGCTGTCCGGCCGAGCTGCTTCAGCCGCTGGCGTCGCGCCGTACCGCCTCTGTCGCATTCCCGTAACACCCCGCGGCGCGTGACACTGAGTGTTTATTGTCCTCTGTTGGCAGACTTCAACGTGACGGCCGGCCACAAGCCGAAACGGAGACCCTACCTGCTGAAGAAGAGGCCGCTTACCACCGGCTTCTTCGATACGGCCAAACGGGACGAGAAAGGTGAGACGACAAACGGACGGTGTGATGAGCGTAAAACGGCGCTGTGACGTGAGTTTGCGTGTTGTGCGTCTTGCGAATATTGTAGTTGAAAGGATGTGGTTCTGTGACCTGGAACTAGCTTCATGAATATTAGATAAAAATGTCATTTAAAAGTATCTGAAGAAGCAGAAAAGCACCTTCAGCTGTTCTTTACAAAAATAATTGTTACATGAAAGACAACTGAGGAATTAGTAACGATAGGGAATCCAAGAATGGTAAAAGAAAAAGTTCGACATTGGAGCATTACAGAGGAGAAAAAGACAAAAGGTTAGAATCGAAGAGTTGGCCAAGTGGTATCAAAATACCTTCGAGCTTCACACTCACATTGAAGAAAATGAAAGAGGGAAGCCGGAAGAACGAGAAAGAGGAAGGGAGAGGAGAAAGAGAGAGAGAGAGGGAGAGAGATAGAAAGAAAGAGAGTGGGAGAGAGAGAGAGAGAGAGAGAGAGAGAGAGAGAGAGAGAGAGAGAGAGAGAGAGAGAGAGGTGGCGAGGAGAGAGGCGTCATACCGAAGTGACTAACAGAATTGCGCGTGAAGGAGAGAAGAGATGAGTGACGGGCTGACACCTGAACACGTTCCACTCGGAGTGTCTGACGGACCACCCCGCGGGCTGGTGCGGGCGCCGCACAGCCGGTCGTCATGTTTCGAGCCGGCCGGCCCGTTTCCAGAAGTTGGAGTCAATTCGCCGGCGGCCGCGGCCGGGCGGCTGGCAGGGTGCCTCCGTGACGTCACCGACCGGCTCTCGACGCTGGCGGGTGGTCCGGCTGCTCTCCAAACTGTTTGGATCGCAGGTTTATAGATCTGCCAGCCGAGGCCGGCGAATTCGCGGTGGAAGCGACGCCCCGACATCACCGCAAAGCGGCCCGTCTGGCCGCCCGGCGATAGACAACGGGCCGGCGCGGTGACTGGGGCGAAACTGCGGAGCGGGCTGGAGAGGCGAGAGGGAATATGGTGTCTACTGGTGGCATGAAGACGGGAACAGTGGTAGCTACGAGCTGAAGGTGGAGATATGATCATAGCCTAGTCTCGTGTTTGCTTACGTTGGATAAATAGGTGTCACAAAAATACGAATTCTGAATGCCACAGGTGTTATCTTGCTGAACAACCATGATTCACAAGTTTTTGTGTTTGACAACTGACGAATATGTGTCGTTTCAAGTTGGATTTCAGATTACCGTGTCTGTTTAGCTGTCTTTGATGTCGTATTGTCACTGCACCGTGCCATTTCCAAACGGCGCGTTTGATCTTGACGCATGACATTTGTTTTATTTACATCTAGAGACTGAGTGCTTTGGCATGATTCAGCCGGGTGCCGTGAGTCACATCCAACTGTCAGACACCATGACAGACGGTTCGGTGGTCATGTGTCAGTGCGGCACGCGCGCACGGCCGGCCCGGCCCGACCTGACGCCGGTATCCGGAGAGTCTGATAAACCTGTCAGCAGACCGCCTGTTCGACGTCGGTCGGCGGATACAGACCAAATGGCCAACCTCAGAGCCGCGTCTGTTCATATACTCGAAGGTAACCCACACACCCGCCCTAACCGACGAGGGCGGCCTCAGACCCGAGCCGGTCCACAGGTAAATCTTGAACACCTGCACAGACAGACCGTCCGGCCTCACAGATATACCCTCACACTTGCTCGGAACGATCAAGCCGCCTCAGAACTGGTCCAGGTCCACAGGTAAACATGGTTAAACCTTGTGTACATATTGCTCGCTGATGGCCTTGGCCAGGTCAGCCACCTACCCAGAGGTAACCACCCCTCTGACCTGCCCGGCAGCGCCGGAGAGCAGTGGTGGCCGGGCGGGGCGGGGCACACGGGCCAGCATTCTCTCGGCGCGCCCTGTTTATCCTGGTGCTTGGTTTGTCCCTGTTGTTTGACAGACGCATGACGTCACCCCCGAGAGAATAGCGTAAACAGCGCGCTCGGCAACGGAGTGGAGCTATTCTTCTGCGGTGCGTGAACTGACGACCGTCCGTCCTCGGTCCCCTCCCCCTCCCCTCCCCTCCTGACCCGACCCCGCCCACTGCCAGCGCCCGTCTCAGCGCGCCGAGATAACCTGATTGCCCCTCCGACCTCCAGGGAACAACAACAACGCCCAGGGCCTGGTATTCGGCATTCCGCTCAAGACGTGCATGGAGAACGACCGCCGGCTGCGCGGCCGGGGCGGCTCGCCGCTGCGAGACCGGCTCGACGAGCCGCTCAGCAGGAAGTCGTCCCACGGCGGCAGCCACGCCTCCTTCTCCTCCCTAATGGACGCCATCAGAGACAAGGTGAGGGAGCAGACGTGCCCTGGGGGTATGATGTGACATGACGTGACTAGGAAGGAGCATGACCTGACGTGGCGCTTTGTCTGACGCTATTTAGCAAGACGTGGAAAGGAAGTGTTTCGGTTTTATCAGGGACTTGGTGCTTGATACTTCGGAACATGCGGCCGTATGGCGGAATGACAGCGGCTGGTTGCGACAATTGTAGGAAGTTTCGAAAGGCGTTGGTCTTGGAATAGCAATGACAACGAAGTGAGACGTTCGTTTCTCCTATCCGTTGACGCATCAGCCATCCTTTAGTCATATCACTCATATCCCTTCTCACTTCTCAGACGCCAGTTCGTCTCTTGGCGCTTAATCTTCGTGTCAACATTCAATAACTTCCTTTTTAGTGTGCAGAATAGCCGGGAAATTGAGAGGGTGACTCGCCAGACCCCGATTCCTTAGGCTCGACAGCAGACGGCTATAGCTGGGGATGTTCTGACTTCTGATACCATATGTGTCTCACGGATTGGCTGTCAGACTGTCGTGTTATTCATTCGGTATAGCATCTAGTGGTGACAGTGACACTTGCTTAGTCACTTTCCTTACCAACGCCACTGCTGTACCGCAATCACCATCATCACTACCCCTATCACCATCACCACCAGCACCACCGATCGCCACCAGCACCCGCACCACCCCGCCGCCGCTGTCACCGGCCGCGGCCACCGCGGAGCGCTCAGAGACTGACGTGTCGCCGTGTCAGCGGGATTTCCGTAATTTGGGGGGCGCCGGCTCGAATAGCTCGCCGCATTTTCGGCATAGACGAGCAGGTCGTTAGTGCGCTCAGTATCAGGTCCAACAAATCGAGCTGCGCGCACCGGTCCGGTAAAATTAAATCGTCGCCGAGGGCGGAATGCACACCGTTCGACGGCGGGCGCCATCCGTTATCAGGGTGTCGCCGGTTCCAGAGAGGGTCAGCGATCGGCGACCGAATCGGCCCACCGCCTGACACTAGTCACATGTCAGCCGATCGCCTCGTTCTTCAAACTTCTGAAATAACTTATCCAATTAAAACGGCTCGAAAATGGCTTCTCGGAAAAAGAAATTAAGATTTTTCGATACCCCAAGAACATTTTTCACACAATAATTCAGGTGGGCCACGCGGGGTGTCGGGTTTGGGCCGTTATCTGACGGCGCACGTCACCCGGGCCGGGCTGACAGTCGGCCGGGCGCCGGCGTCCGTGCCAATCACCTGTTGGCAATCTGGGACCGACGCGATGGTGGTGAGTCGCCAGCGTCGGCCGGCCAGGTCGCACGGAGGGCCGCGCGCCGCGCTGCCGTCGTCAGCGCGGCCGATGACGCCGGCGGCGGCTCGTCATCGGCGCCGGCGGCGCTGACGCGTCCGACAGCGGGCCATAGTGGCGGCCGCTTGTAAATAGCCGGCGGCGGCGCGGGTCGGCCGGCCGCCTCGCGTCGCCGGCTCGGCGCGTCAGCTGACTGTTGGCCAGCTGAGCGGGCCTCGGCGGCCGCCCGGCAGCCAGCAGGCCCTATTTTCGCCCAGCGGCAGAAGGTGGCTGGATTATTTTAGCGGCGTCGGTCCTGAATCTGCGCGCCGCGGCTGGCCGGGTGCCCACCGCGCCGCCGCCGAGCTGCTGAGACATAAACACCGGCCAGCGGCCGGCCGAGGAGCCCAGCCGGCGGCCCTCAGCGCCCCGCCCCGCCCCCGCCCCCGCCCCCGCCCCCGACAGCCCCGCCCCCGCACGTACCACACCCTTCGACGATGGCGCCGGCGGCAGCGTCAAGGTCGCATTGTGACGTCATTCACAAGTTTGCGTAGCGAGAGAGGAAAAACAACGCTTGCGTCTATCTATCAAAGAAAGAAGCTGGTATAACATACCTGTAAAATTGGATGAACGTTACATATGAAAATGTATGTCTTTAGGGACAAATGTAGAAAAATACTATATAAAACTATTCTTAAACTCTAGAACTCTATAGAACTCTAAACTAGAACTCGTTTGATGCATAATGAAAAAGACACGTTATCGAAGAATTTGTCCGTCTAAACGTACACACATTTTAAGATTCAGAACATGCCTAAGGCTAAGACAGCAGAAGGGAGCTTCAGCTTAGCAATGATTATGTAAGATTAAAGTAAAGGCAACAATGGGATAAGCGATAATGGAATGTGTCATTCAATCGGATAAGCAATATGGGCGAGTAGTGAATGCTTGTTACCAAATGAATTAAAGATTTGCGGCGGAGTGCAGAGTTGAAGGCGCCGGAAAGAGGGTTTCGGAATATTGTATAGCGTATAGAGGACGTTGTCTGGCGTCTGCAGTTCTTCATCCACTGAATGATGACATTGCGTATGCAGTCACACCCACTAAAACGCCATACGATGCACCCAAGCTTGTGCACATGGGATGCGGTGGTTAGCGATGCATGTTTTCTCTACTCGTCCCCGGTCAAAGTTCTGTTTTAATCGGAAATCACCCCTTGTCCTTGGCACAACACAAATGTTTTCCTGGTAGAAAGGCCCGTTAATATGTTTACCGTCTGAAACTGTTGTTCACTTGATATGCCAATTCGGAAACAAATGCATTCCAATTTTCAGCTGTGACTGTCAATAATCAAAGATAGCAAAACTGATTTGGACACTGTAAAAACAATGTCACAGGTGCAAAGCATTTACATCGTCTTGTCAGCGCGGCACCGTGTTCTACAAGCTGCTCATGCTAACAGGAACATCTCTCATGTCGCATTAGAATGTGGTTCAGCCATGATACCTGGGTCCTGGAGAACAAATAGACAGAAGGGCTTTCCAGACAGAGGAACTTTCCAGATCAGCGCAGTGAACTGAGTTGTACTTGCGTGTTGCGTGTAATATCGCGTCTATTCCGTATAGATCCGGAGAACATTTCATCTACCTATATAGCCGCGTACCTATATACCTATGTAGGCATGCGTATTACTCATTATTAGGGTATAAAGGGCCATGGTATTACTAATGCGTCGGACGGAGCCGACATATGTAATGTTTAGGGGGCTGCAGAGACGGATGTGGGGATGAAATGACAAATTGGGAAACGAACGGATGGACGGACGGATAGTCAGGGACAAATCACGTAAAAGGCAGACAAACGGACGAACTGATAAGACGAACTGACTGACAAGTAGCGGTATCTGGTGATGGACACCGATAGCAGAGGGCCGAACCGTAGGTGGGCAATTGATGTTTGAATTATAACGTAAACTGTGTTCAGTGTTCAAGGCTCAAGCATTAGTGAGGGAATGTTTGGAGATATCATAAATTGTGTGTTTAAGACTCTAAAAAAGTGTTAACGCGTTGATAGCTTGCATTACACAGCCCAAACATCAGCATGTCTGCTATGTTGTACGTTACATGCCCGCCCTCCAAGTCTAACCTCCCCCTCTGTCGCCACCAGACGAGCGGCTCGTGCGAGTCTCTGAACATCATGGAGAAGCGCAGCTCGGTGCAGGACAGCAGTCTGTCGCTGGCTTCGGACGGCGGCGGTGCAGGAGCCGAGGCCGCCCTCCAGCCGCACGTGCCCCAGGTGCCTCAGCTGGTGACCGCCTGTATCCGACACATCGAGACCCACGGCCTGCACACAGTCGGCATCTTCCGCGTCAGCAGCAGCAAGAAACGGGCCAGACAGGTGAGACGGGATGGCGGACGGTGAGGGGGAGGGAGGGTGGGGAGTGGAGATCACTGACCGTGTGGAGATCACAGCAAGAAACGGGCCAGACAGGTGAGACCGGCTGAGGCGGACGCGAGGGGGATGAAGACATGTAGATTTAGATGGCTGTGGCTGACCGACACTGGCTGATCGCTGTGGACACCAGCCGATAACTGATCAACTGACCTGAATGGACGGCTAGATAAGAAACCATGCAATAGTCCCACTCATCCCCAATTCATGTATCTATGACATACACACTGCATAGTGCACAGTGCTTACTGCACAGTGCACACCTAAAATTAGCATGCAAAAGCGACCTCACGCAAAACCCTGACCGTAATTCAGAGGTCAGCACGGACCGACATTCTTTGGGAGTGAGCCGGCTCCACACATCACCACGATCCGCCTTGACGATCCATTAGCACCCCACATCTGCCGCTGGTTACCTCTCACATTCCTCCGTCTGCAATCCCAGCCGCCGCCCAGCGGGTGTGCCGGGCCGTGGGGCGGCTCGGTGGCCCGTCTAGGTGCACAGTGTGGCCGGAATCCGCGGTCGTGCGGCCGCGCCCGGCGCCCGCCGGTCGGGGTCCGTGCCAGCACCGAGCTGAATGTCAGACAGACGCCGGCCGGCGCGCTGCAACCGACCGCGCGGTCGGAGGGAGAGGGAGAGAGAGAAGGAGGAGGGAGAGAGAGGGATGGCCGTATCACTGACTCACTGCTAGATCCGACTGACTGAGACGGAGCAGACACCGGCAGTGACTCACGATGATCGGATCCGGTGGCGGCTCGAGGCATCGGGCTGTATTTTCGGAGCGCTCTTCCGCTGCCGGTCGGACGGTTCAGCTACAGCCAGCAGACGGGGAATATACCACATTCACTTCCATCTCGGCTTTACAATGCAATGCACAGCTTCACAACTTCACATGCAGTTTACTTCTGCATAGTGTTGTTACTAGGACGACTCTAATCGTGAGGTTGGGGTCGAGACAAACTTGATGGGTGGCCGTCTGCCCGACGATTGTCACCCTGGGCAACAAAACAAAACTTCTTGAGGGGAAGAGGAACTTTGATGTAATGTTTGCTTTTATGCCTTCGGCGATTATTTGTGCAGTATAGGCACTTTCGATGTGTTTGGCCTGGAGGTTGTGGCCTATAGATCCCGAGAATCCGTGGTCGTATCGATGCGCTATTTACTAGTTATGCTCGATTTAGTTGAGGGTCAGTTTATCTCGATGGAAAAGTAGCATGTACAGCCCTCAGCAGACTGCGTGGTAGGTATTCTTTTTTCGACAAAACCAATAATTACTCAGAGGCTAGGCTATCAAATATAAACTTTTGGGTTTTGTTGCCAAACTGGATGGAAAATGAAAAAGATGATAGGCCAAATCTAAGGTGCGGAGTCTCGCGCTTCTTACTATTACTAATCCCGAGAGACTGATATCATAGTATGCGCGTTATTCTCGGTTTTATCGAAAAAAGAATACCTACCACGCAGTTTGCAGAGGGCTGTACTTTGCTGACACTGATTTTCCCCAACACAGCTGCGGGAGGAGTTTGACAGCGGCGCAGACGTGAAGCTCAGCGACGACCTGTGTCCGCACGACGTGGCCACGCTCATCAAGGAGTACTTCCGGGACCTGCCGGAGCCGCTGCTGCCTCACGATCTCTACCAGCCCTTCCTGGCGTCACAGAGTGAGTGTCACGATCTCTACCAGCCCTTCCTGGCGTCACAGAGTGAGTGTCACGATCTCTACCAGCCCTTCCTGGCGTCACAGAGTGAGTGTCACGATCTCTACCAGCCCTTCCTGGCGTCACAGAGTGAGTGTCACGATCTCTACCAGCCCTTCCCGGCGTCACAGAGTGAGTGTCACGATCTCTACCAGCCCTTCCTGGCGTCACAGAGTGAGTGGCTCGATCTCTACCAGCCCTTCCTGGCGTCACAGAGTAAGTGAGACGAACTTTAACAGCCCTTCCTGGCGTCACAGAGTGAGTGTCACGATCTCTACCAGCCCTTCCTGGCGTCACAGAGTGAGTGTCACGATCTCTATCAGCCCTTCCTGGTGTCACAGAGTGAGTGTCACGATCTCTACCAGCCCTTCCTGGCGTCACAGAGTGAGTGTCGCAATCTCTACCAGCCCTTCCTGGCGTCACAGAGTGAGTGTCACGATCTCTACCAGCCCTTCCTGGCGTCACAGAGTGATATGATCTCTATCAGCCTGCCTGGCGTCACAGAGTGACACGATCTCTACCAGCCCTTCCTGGCGTCACAGAGTGAGTGTCACGATCTCTACCAGCCCTTCCTGGCGTCACAGAGTGAGTGTCACGATCTCTACCAGCCCTTCCCGGCGTCACAGAGTGAGTGTCGCAATCTCTACCAGCCCTTCCTGGCGTCACAGAGTAAGTGTCACGATCTCTACCAGCCCTTCCCGGCGTCACAGAGTGATATGATCTCTATCAGCCTGCCTGGCGTCACAGAGTGACACGATCTCTACCAGCCCTTCCTGGCGTCACAGAGTGAGTGTCACGATCTCTACCAGCCCTTCCTGGCGTCACAGAGTGAGTGACACGATCTCTACCAGCCCTTCCTGGCGTCACAGAGTGAGTGTCACGATCTCTACCAGCCCTTCCTGGCGTCACAGAGTGAGTGTCACGATCTCTACCAACCTTTCCTGGCGTCACAGAGTGATATGATCTCTACCAGCCCTTCCTGGCGTCACAGAGTAAGTGACGCCATCTCTAGCAGTCCTTCCTGGCGTCACAGAGTGAGTGATATGATCTCTACCCGCCCTTCTCGGCGTCATAGAGTGAGCGCAGCCTTTGGGATTGCGGGCGACAGCAAGTGCAACGAACCGACTGCCTTTACTATTTTCTCTTTTTTATTCGAGACTTTTATACACTTCTTTTATAGACACTTCCCTTGCGAATGAACCGCACTCAAAGCACAAAGAAGAGCACTGTTGCTACACCTACATATATCTGTAACGATCGCTCGATCCCGCCACCTCTGCCCGTCTCCGACTGACGCCCCTCCCTCCGCTCGCAGAGATCAGGAACAGGAAGCAGCAGTTTGACTGCCTGCAGCACCTGATCCAGCTGCTGGCCGTGCCCAACCGGGACACGCTGTGGGCGCTGCTCTGCTTCCTGAAGAAGGTGGCAGACTGCGCGGCAGACCGGCGTACCCCGGCGGGAGAGTGGCTCACCGGCAACCGCATGGACAGTAACAACCTGGCCACCCTGTTCGCGCCTAACATCCTGCACTCGCTGGCGCAGCTGGGTAACGAGCTAAGCCAGCAGGCCACCGAGCGCATCGACGTCATCAACGTGATCCGCAGCCTGATCGACCACAACAAGGAGCTGTTCGAGGTGGGTCGGACTGTGTGCGGACTGTGTGCGGACTGAGTGAACGGACTGTGTGCGGACTGTGTGAACGGACTGTGTGAACGGACTGTGTGAACGGACTGTGTGAACGGACTGTGTGAACGGACTGTGTGAACGGACTGTGTGCGGACTGTGTGCGGACTGTGTGCGGACTGTGTGCGCCGCGCTCACCCAAATCAGACAGGCTAGCCAGAAGAGGCAAGTAAATTGATGAAACTTATCCAAAAATTGTACAACAGTAGACTAGAGTGGCAATAGCCAATAAGGCATGGTTATCATTTTTCATCGATTTTACGGCACATTTTTTACACGCTGAGTCATAATGTTGGTAAAAACTACTTTCCATATAAATAATGAAATATGAGCCCCGGGGTGTGATAATTGATGGTGATTTTTTGTCGGTACGTTAACTGGCGGTCGTCGGGTCACGAGTTCGGCGGGATTAATGACCGCCGCAGACGGACGTCGTTATGACGTCATTGGGTACGACGACATGACGCTGCTGGGGCGGGGGGGGGGGGGCGGTACAAGGCCGGCGCCGGCGTACCGCTAAAACGGCTTTCCTAGGAAAGGGCCGGTGCTATTTTACGGAGTAAATGGCGTCGGCGATTTACGACGAGAACACACAAAGGGATGTTTGTTTGTCTTGTTCAGGTGCCGTCTTACCGAGAAATGTATCAGATATAGCTTTGTTGTGTCTGTCTCCTCTCAGCCAAATGCAAGGTAGACGGTATTTACTGCCAAGGATATCTCGGAACTCGTGAGAAAATTGACAGTGGGCTGACAGATTAGCCAGAATATCATTTTGTCAGAAGGGTGACAACTCAGCAATTGCTATTGCTTGGTAACTGTTTCAGTGACATAACGTTTAAATCCATAAATTAATTTCTTTGAATTCAAGCTATTTTATGTCGCCAGTAACGAGTCTCCTGGCATTTCTGGCAGTCAGCAGAACAATTTAATTTCGCCGCCCTTATGAAAGTCACTAACGATCCGTCTACAACGTGACCCCTGGCCCCCTCTGACTATATGTGACCTGCTGACCTCAGGTGTCGGCCGAGCTGCTGCACGAGGCCTATCAGCTGCTGATGGACAAGCAGCCCGAGGCGCTGGACGTCCTGCTGCGGCGGCGGCTGACCAGTCCCGGAGACGAGTGAGTGCACTACGGCAGCTGACCTGACCTGATCTGACCTGACCTGACCTGACCCTGACCCTGAGCTGACCTGACCTGATCTGACCCGGCCAAAAGCGGCTAACCAGTCCCGGAGAAGAGTGAGTGCACTGCGGCAGCTGACCTGACCTGACCCTGAGCTGACCTGACCTAACCCGGTCCTGACCAGGGCGGTTCACTAGCCCCGGATCAGTGAGTGCAGATCAGCAGCTGACCCAGCCTGATCTGACCTAACCTGATCCGGTCCGCACCTGACCTGACCTGGATCTGATCTCATGCGGTCGGGACCCGGATCTTACCTGGACTAGCGTCAGTTTTTTCCGTCAAGCCTTGTTTCTTATGTGTTTTGTCAAGTCCTTATAGAAAAACCGCGAAACCTTGTGATTGTGTTTGAACACTAACTGCATCTATTGCTCGTACACAATGTTTCATTACATTCTAACAATTATATCATCTATGTCTTCGCTTGTTTTGTTGTTTGTTTCTGACGTTATCCTCTAAAAAAATCGCTATCATTTCCATTTTTTACAACACATTATCGTGAACGTATCATTTAAATATTCTCAATCTCCGTTACACATTCTTATACCTATCTGGACTTATGAAACATTTTCCGATTCGAAAATGGAAAAAAAGAAACGAAACATTTTTTGTCTCAAACATGCACTTCACACTCAACGTAACTAATACAAAATGTTGCAAACAAGCTTTGGCTGATGCCTATAGTCATTTGGTTAAAATAAAATGTAAATAAATAAATTGCATATACCTATAGTAATACATTGTCGCAACAAACTTAATTGCATTAAAGATGTACAATATTGGAATCGCTAAACAGCACCCATTGATGACATTTAACGAGTAGGGTAACGTGCCTAATTAGCGACCCCCTTAATTTGAATGTCCGTGAAGTTGGCGACGTCGCCAGCGACTTTTCCAGCGACGAGCACCGATTTTAGCCAAAACCTCGTCCAAGGTCAATTGGACCATGAGGATCACGAAAATCGAACCCATTCACCCCTAAACCTTGACCTTCAAGGTCAAATTCAAGGTCAAAGGACGGGGAACTGAAAAAGTGCCACTAAATATTGTCCGATTTTCAAAGTTTTGGCACCAAAATGTAGCGCGTGCAAAGTTCTAGCCGCACATCGAAAACCATTTTCATCAAGGTCAAACTTCAAGGTCAAATTCAAGGTCAAAGGACGGGGAACTGAAAAAATGCCACTAAATATTGTCCGATTTTCAAAATCTTGGCACCAAAATGTAGCGCGTGCAAAGTTCTAGCCGCACATCGAAAACCATTTTCATCAAGGTCAAACTTCAAGGTCAAATTCAAGGTCAAAGGACGGGGAACTGAAAAAGTGCCACTAGATATTGTCCGATCTTCAAAATTTTGGCACCAAAATGTAGCGCGTGCAAAGTTCTAGCCGCACATCGAAAACCATTTTCATCAAGGTCAAACTTCAAGGTCAAATTCAAGGTCAAAGGACGGGGAACTGAAAAAGTACCACTAAATATTGTCCGATCTTCAAAATTTTGGCACCAAAATGTAGCGCGTGCAAAGTTCTAGCCGCACATCGAAAACCCTTTTCATCAAGGTCAAACTTTAAGGTCAAATTCAAGGTCAAAGGACGGGGAACTGAAAAAGTGCCACTAAATATTGTCCGATTTTCAAAGTTTTGGCACCAAAATGTAGCGCGTGCAAAGTTCTAGCCGCACATCGAAAACCATTTTCATCAAGGTCAAACTTCAAGGTCAAATTCAAGGTCAAAGGACGGGGAACTGAAAAAATGCCACTAAATATTGTCCGATTTTCAAAATCTTGGCACCAAAATGTAGCGCGTGCAAAGTTCTAGCCGCACATCGAAAACCATTTTCATCAAGGTCAAACTTCAAGGTCAAATTCAAGGTCAAAGGACGGGGAACTGAAAAAGTGCCACTAGATATTGTCCGATCTTCAAAATTTTGGCACCAAAATGTAGCGCGTGCAAAGTTCTAGCCGCACATCGAAAACCATTTTCATCAAGGTCAAACTTCAAGGTCATATTCAAGGTCAAAGGACGGGGAACTGAAAAAGTACCACTAAATATTGTCCGATCTTCAAAATTTTGGCACCAAAATGTAGCGCGTGCAAAGTTCTAGCCGCACATCGAAAACCCTTTTCATCAAGGTCAAACTTTAAGGTCAAATTCAAGGTCAAAGGACGGGGAACTGAAAAAGTGCCACTAAATATTGTCCGATTTTCAAAGTTTTGGCACCAAAATGTAGCGCGTGCAAAGTTCTAGCCGCACATCGAAAACCATTTTCATCAAGGTCAAACTTCAAGGTCAAATTCAAGGTCAAAGGACGGGGAACTGAAAAAGTGCCACTAAATATTGTCCGATTTTCAAAATCTTGGCACCAAAATGTAGCGCGTGCAAAGTTCTAGCCGCACATCGAAAACCATTTTCATCAAGGTCAAACTTCAAGGTCAAATTCAAGGTCAAAGGACGGGGAACTGAAAAAGTGCCACTAGATATTGTCCGATCTTCAAAATTTTGGCACCAAAATGTAGCGCGTGCAAAGTTCTAGCCGCACATCGAAAACCATTTTCATCAAGGTCAAACTTCAAGGTCAAATTCAAGGTCAAAGGACGGGGAACTGAAAAAGTACCACTAAATATTGTCCGATCTTCAAAATTTTGGCACCAAAATGTAGCGCTTGCAAAGTTCTAGCCGCACATCGAAAACCCTTTTCATCAAGGTCAAACTTCAAGGTCAAATTCAAGGTCAAAGGACGGGGAACTGAAAAAGTGCCACTAAATATTGTCCGATTTTCAAAATTTTGGCACCAAAATGTAGCGCGTGCAAAGTTCTAGCCGCACATCGAAAACCATTTTCATCAAGGTCAAACTTCAGGGTCAAATTCAAGGTCAAAGGACGGGGAACTGAAAAAGTGCCACTAAATATTGTCCGATTTTCAAAATTTTGGCACCAAAATGTAGCGCGTGCAAAGTTCTAGCCGCACATCGAAAACCATTTTCATCAAGGTCAAACTTCAAGGTCAAATTCAAGGTCAAAGGACGGGGAACTTTAAAAATGCTACGTTACCAGCGACTTTTCCAGCGACGAGCACCGATTTTAGCCAAAACCTCGTCCAAGGTCAATTGTACCATGAGGATCACGAAAATCGAACCCATTCACCCCTAAACCTTGACCTTCAAAGTCAAATTCAAGGTCAAAGGACGGGGAACTGAAAAAGTGCCACTAAATATTGTCTGATTTTCAAAATTTTGTCACCAAAATGTAGCGCGTGCAAAGTTCTAGCCGCACATCGAAAACCATTTTCATCAAGGTCAAACTTCAAGGTCAAATTCAAGGTCAAAGGACGGGGAACTAAAAAAGTGCCACTAAATATTGTCCGATTTTCAAAATTTTGGCACCAAAATGTAGCGCGTGCAAAGTTCTAGCCGCACATCGAAAACCATTTTCATCAAGGTCAAACTTCAAGGTCAAATTCAAGGTCAAAGGACGGGGAACTGAAAAAGTGCCACTAAATATTGTCCGATTTTCAAAATCTTTGCACCAAAATGTAGCGCGTGCAAAGTTCTAGCCGCACATCGAAAACCATTTTCATCAAGGTCAAACTTCAAGGTCAAATTCAAGGTCAAAGGACGGGGAACTGAAAAAGTGCCACTAGATATTGTCCGATCTTCAAAATTTTGGCACCAAAATGTAGCGCGTGCAAAGTTCTAGCCACACATCGAAAACCATTTTCATCAAGGTCAAACTTCAAGGTCAAATTCAAGGTCAAAGGACGGGGAACTGAAAAAGTACCACTAAATATTGTCCGATCTTCAAAATTTTGGCACCAAAATGTAGCGCGTGCAAAGTTCTAGCCGCACATCGAAAACCCTTTTCATCAAGGTCAAACTTCAAGGTCAAATTCAAGGTCAAAGGACGGGGAACTGAAAAAGTGCCACTAAATATTGTCCGATTTTCAAAATTTTGGCACCAAAATGTAGCGCGTGCAAAGTTCTAGCCGCACATCGAAAACCATTTTCATCAAGGTCAAACTTCAAGGTCAAATTCAAGGTCAAAGGACGGGGAACTGAAAAAGTGCCACTAGATATTGTCCGATTTTCAAATTTTTGGCACCAAAATGTAGCGCGTGCAAAGTTCTAGCCGCACATCGAAAACCATGTTCATCAAGGTCAAACTTCAAGGTCAAATTCAAGGTCAAAGGACGGGGAACTGAAAAAGTGCCACTAGATATTGTCCGATCTTCAAAATTTTGGCACCAAAATGTAGCGCGTGCAAAGTTCTAGCCGCACATCGAAAACCATTTTCATCAAGGTCAAACTTCAAGGTCAAATTCAAGGTCAAAGGACGGGGAACTGAAAAAGTGCCACTCAATATTGTCCGATCTTCAAAATTTTGGCACCAAAATGTAGCGCGTGCAAAGTTCTAGCAGCACATCGAAAACCATTTTCATCAAGGTCAAACTTCAAGGTCAAATTCAAGGTCAAAGGACGGGGAACTGAAAAAGTGCCACTAAATATTGTCCGATTTTCAAAATTTTGGCACCAAAATGTACCTAGCGCGTGCAAAGTTCTAGCCGCACATCGAAAACCATTTTCATCAAGGTCAAACTTCAGGGTCAAATTCAAGGTCAAAGGACGGGGAACTGAAAAAGTGCCACTAAAGATTGTCCGATTTTCAAAATTTTGGCACCAAAATGTAGCGCGTGCAAAGTTCTAGCCGCACATCGAAAACCATTTTCATCAAGGTCAAACTTCAAGGTCAAATTCAAGGTCAAAGGACGGGGAACTTTAAAAATGCTACGTTACCAGCGACTTTTCCAGCGACGAGCACCGATTTTAGCCAAAACCTCGTCCAAGGTCAATTGTACCATGAGGATCACGAAAATCGAACCCATTCACCCCTAAACTTTGACCTTCAAAGTCAAATTCAAGGTCAAAGGACGGGGAACAGAAAAAGTGC